CGCCGCGTCATTGCGTGCAATGCGCGGAGACTCGCATGAAAGACGCCTGCGAGGGCTGCGCAAAATGCACGTCCGGCGGCGGCAAGCCACGAAGGAGGAAATGACACGAGCACAACGTGCAGCCAACGATCCCCAGGATATTCTGGACCTCGTACTCACAGTGGTCAACAACTATGGGGAATGCCGTAAGTGGCAACCGTCAGCGCACCAAGCGATCCCTACACCCCGACTCTCAACGCGATTCAACCAGCACGTCGAGTGCGACTTTTTTGTACAAGGATCGCATGATGATCTGCTGCGCCTCACTCTGGCCTAACGGCCAGGACACCGATTTCAGACGCGACTCGACGCTGCTTGCAGCCATCGAACGATCATGGATCCAAGTTTTCGGCGCGATGGAGACGTTCATCGCGGGCGGAAAGGGCGGCGTGACCCCGACCATTTTGTTGTGAAATATATGAAGGGGCGAGGAGTTTAGATGGGCATCCGTGCCCCGCGACAGCGCGCTCGCTTCATTCAACGACGTTGGGCAACGCTACGCCATGGGCATCGCGCCACGGATGAGCAGCCAGAGCGCGAAGGTATTTCTGCCAACTCCGGTTGTGCTTGCTCATGCCATATGTGCAGGCAACGACCTCACCCTCGTTGGCGGCGTCGCGCCAGGCAACGTCGTCTTCGGGAGGCAGCTGGCGATTCTGCCGCCGCTGGAAGCAGGCGAATCGGATGAGGTATCTGGCGTCTACGTCGCCTGAGCCGATCCTCCTGCCGGTGGGAAAGTGCAACCCAGCCGACTGCAGTGGCGAATCCGAGAGATCGCATTGCAATGCATGGTTGCGGCTACGTTTATTTCCCGCGTCAACCGCGCCCTCTGGAGACGCGCCACCGAGTCCGGAGAGGGCCGCTTCAACGTTGGCGACCAGGTGGAGATCTACAGACCTCCGAAAACAAGCCGCGTACCAGGCTGGGCGGGCCCTGGGGCAGTCGCGTCAGTTGACCCAGCTCGAGTCAATTCATCGGCCAAGCACCTCGGAGCCGACGTCATCTGTGGATTGCAAGACGATGTCCAGTCCTTCACCGGCTTGGCTAGAGCTGGCCTGGCTTTGGAAGACATCATTGGGCGCGTCATGCCAGGCTCTGGCGCCGGGACCTTCGGCCACCGGGAGGGCGTGCGGGGGCGTGCAGATGGCCAGGACATCTACGAAGCTCTACGCAACGTATCTCGCGTGTGATTTCAATTACCATCTGGTGTCTCCCTTCGAGTCTAGGTGACACTCGGCAGATTTAAGTTCGACGCCCGCGCGCTCATCGGCGAACAGTGGCAGGACGCTCACATCATTTACTTTACCGTGGGTAACGAGACGATCACGGCAGCAGACATTGGACAGCACCCAGAGGGGTTTTCGATTGAAGTGCTATCGACATCCCTGAGGACGCTGTCAGCACCGCAAAGGGAGGATCTCCATCTGCACTGTCGCCCATGCCTGATGAGACTGGCGCCGTCTTCTCCGGCCACGTCCAGCAGGCGATGTTGGCAGCGTGGCACCTGGCCCAGGAGTTGGAGTCGCTGGAAAGCGACGACAGCCAGAAGATGATCAGCGCTGTTGTCGAGCACGCTGCGGCCAGTCTTGGCCGCCGGCTACGCGGGTGGCCCCAGCGCTTCGAGACGCAGCACCAGCGTCGCGGCATCTACGCGCAGCGCCACTACCATTTACCTGCGCGGCGCCTCCCTGGAAGACATTGCCGCGATAGTGGAGGAGGACGAATGGGGAAGTCGCACGGCGTTGTGCTTCGACCAGGGGGCGCGCGAAGCATTCCTGAGCGTCGACGAGGACGCGCCCAGCAAAGACCGCGGTCACCAGGCGCGGCATTGGTCTCCTGACCAAGGAGGGGGTGCCCAGGCTGTCCATGGAGGTGCCAGCAGCCATCCTCGATGCGCCCACCATCTGGGTCAAGCGCAAATTTTCCGAACGGCGACCAATCAGGAGCCCCCGAAACGGTTTGGCCCCAGGCGCGTCTTCGTGGAAGCGCCAGAAGGGCCCCGACAGCAAGACCGCGCGGATCACCTGGTGCCGCACGGTGCTCAGAGACTTCCGCGACATGGGCGTCGGCGCCTTGGAGACGCTCGCGGGGACAGCCGAACGGGGCTCGCAGCGCACTCTGTCCTCGGTGGCGGCGCGCCGCCCGGCCTGGGCCTACGTCGCAATGGGCGTCAAGAAGGCTTTCCCGCGGGGCGCGATGACGCATGCCTGGGAGATGCAGTAACAAGGTGAATCGCTGCCCGAGGTGAACTTCACCTGCCGCCCAGCAGTGCAGCTATCCTCAGGCAGGTGCCCGGCTACGAGTCCCTCGACGAAGGGCCGAGTGCTTGCGCCGAGATGGGCGCGGGCCGCGAGGGCGCGCCCCGAGCCTTCTCCATGACTCGCCCGGGCCACGCGCCCACCAGAGTGCAGCGCCAAACCCGCCGGGCGGGGCCCAGAGCTCGAGGTCATGCATGAGGCGCCCAGAAACTTCGTTGCTGGCGGCGCAATGTTTGTGTTCGCGTTGTCCGAGCGCGTCTTTGATCTGAGGATCGTTGGACGGAAGCAGCACGTCGACAAGCTCGTCGCCCGCGTCGAGAGCGCCTTCGGCAACGTGAACGGGGACTACGACTCCTCCACCAACTGCGGCGTCCACTAACACCGGTGCGCAGACGGTGCCGTGGCGGCCGACCTGGACGAGTGCATCGACGCGTTGGTGCTCATCAGGCACGTCGACCTGGTCAGAGCGAAGGTCGTTGAGCCAGCAGGAGGTCAACTCCCCGACCGCTTCGTCTCCTCGCTGGGAGCAGCTGCCGAGCCCTGGTCGCCCAGCGACGCGTCGCAGCGCGCGCTCCAGCGCTTCGGCGAGCCAAGAACAAGCTGCTCATGCGACGCGTTATGGTCCTCGCCACGCAGAAGGTCAAGGCGCGCATCGCCTCTCCCGCCGTCGAATGCGCCGGTCAGACCTGCGCGCGCAGGGGCGAGTCCTGTCACAGACGGGGCGCGGCGTGGGGGGCGACGTCTACGCGCGCCTCGGCAAGTGCCGCAGAACCAGCACGGAGGTCAATCGATTGCTCGACGCCGTGAGCCGCCCACGCAAACTTGCGCGCAGGTCTTCGTTCGGCCCCGAGCTGCCCGGGGCACGCGGCGCAGCTGATGGGTTGCAGGCCAACCCCATCGCGCGCCACGATGTGATCTGGGCCCAGTCTCTGCCGAGGAGACCAGGAAGCTGAGAGAGGAGGGAGGCCGCGCCATGCCTGCAACCCTGGTCGTGGACGGGATATCCGTCTTCGCGACCGCCGCCGTGGACCCTGCGCGCCCGCCTTCAAAGCGCAGCGCGGCAGGCCAGTTGCGGCGGCTCTTCGACCAGCTCCGTGCCAAGCAGGTCGCCGACATGCCGTGGTGCGACGCGCGTAAAATGACTGCCGGCCCCACGACGAAGGGGAGTATCGGCTGGGAGCTGATGTCGGACGCGTTGCGCCGGGAGCTCCATCACGCCCACGGCGCGGTCAGACTGAGCGACGAGAGGAGCGAGGATGCCGTGCCCATCTTCCCCCACGGCGACCTCGGGACGGATGAAGAAAACGTTTCGCCGACGGGATGAAGAACAATTTGTATTCCGGCTGCAGAACGTAACATTGGCGTCCGCATGTCGCGAATTTGGTTTTGCGAGTGCGACACATGGAGAGGCAAAGGCAGTCGCGTTGCGTGAATTGTGTTGCGAATGCGACGTAGCAGTGCGTACGGGAGAACGCTAGCATAAGGCGATCGATGCTCTCATTTGCGATTCGGTGAGCCAAAGAAATGAGGGGTTGTTACCATGCGCTGTGTTCGTGGAGCAGCAGATTCTGGCGTGCAGCACATTAATATTTGCACTGTACTCCTTCAGTTGTCTGCTCTCCTTGTTCCTCTTGCAAGTTGTTATGAGGGACCTGGTTACTATCACACCAGAGAAAACCCCAATCAGTCGATGGTCTGATATTGATATTGGGATCAACTTTGAGATCGATCGTGGAATCGGTAGTAAAGACGATTATAAGGTTCATCGTGGAACCAATAGTGCAGTCGGCTCAATGAGATCGATAGTGAGATCGCTCGTGCGATCTTTAGTGAGCTCGATTGTGAGCTCGATTTTGTGACTGATAGTGAGATTGGTAGAGAGGTGGGTAATGAGATCGCCGATCGATAAGAAGATCGACCAGGATTCCGGGAACCCGAAATTCCCGATGCCCACCGAAATCGGCCCGGAACCCAAAATCAGGAACCGGGAACCCAGGAACCCGGCCGCTTACCGAAATCGGCCCGGAACTTTCGCCAAATCTTTCAATATCTTCTAGGGCCCCTTCAGTGCAAGCTTCGATTGGGGAAAAAAGGCCCCTGTTTAGACTTGTTTGGTATCACGGGATGCGTCAACTTATTCCGGTTTGCGCTAGGAGCTCCGCCAGGTGCCGTAAAAACAGGTTTGGGGGTTGGCAATTTGGGGCCAAGGTGCCTTGGAGCGACACGAAGTCCGGTAACTCCCGGAGGGCGGAAATCATGGTGCCCTATACCGCTACAACTGCTTATGAGGTTTCGTTGGTTGCGGCACGGCTTGCGTGCTGCAGCCGACGGGGCACAGGCATATTCGTTTGAACACCAGACTAGAACGATAGCCTGCTCGTTGCTTTTGTCTTTTCTGCCCTGTCCAATCGTATCAATTTTCCATTGCCGTTTTGGACACGGGGTATGGTAGGTTGCAGTTTGCCGTACCCTTGTTAGGCGCGTCATCATTATCAGATCACCGTATGCATTGTTCTGTGCAGTAGACATCCGTTGTCATAGTTTTCTCTTCCTCCTCCTCCTCTTCCTCCTCTTCTTCCTCATCTTCCATGCTCCTCTTCCTCCTCCTCCCATTCCCTACACAACGCCCCCCCCTCCCCCCAGCGCCTTATCCTGGGGCGCCCGGGGGGCAGCGCCGGGGCAGCTTCCGCTCCGCCCCCGGAGAAGGCCGCGTTGGCCCTCGGCCGGATGGACGTCAAGCGCGGCCCGCCGGCGCCTTGGGGGGCCCCGACGTCCCAGCGACGTCGGCGCCGTCCGTTGTCGTCGTCCTCGTCATCGTCTTCGTCTTCGTCGTCCGTCGTGGTCGTCGTCGTCCTTCCCCTCACTCTGCATCTGCCGCCCCCTCTACTCCACTCGTTCCTCGGCAACTCGTCCTTCTGCCTCGCACGATCCTCCCTTTTTCCCGCAGCTGCTCAATCTTTCACGCTTCGCGTGTCCCCTTCAGCCCATGCAGAAGCGATCGCCAGGCGAGTTGCACTGTTTTGGGAGGGGTCAAGCATGCAGTGCGACAGCCGCCCCGAAGAGGACGACGACTGGGAAGGACGAAGGAGACGACGGCGGCGACGACGACGACGACGCATCCACAGAGCCTTCGTGGACCCCTCGCTCAGCGAGAGTCTTGGAGGCCACGTGGGGTCTTCTTGGACCATCGTGGAGCCATTGTGCCGTCCACCCGCGCCCCGCGCTGGGCCGGGATCTGCCCGTCAGTGGATTTTTTTTTTTTTCTCTCTCTCTCTCTCTGTCTGTCTTTCTCGTGGAGCCATTGGAGGCTTTCGGGCCACATTGGGGCTCGCTCGGGGCCCTGTTGGGAATCTCGTGGACTCCTGCGGGGCCTCTTGTGGCCGTCTTGAGCCCCACCGTTTAAAAAGAAGGGGGCGCTCAATTCAGCCGCCCCCCTCCCTTCGGAAATTGCCTCTTGGAGCTCTCTTGTGACGCTATTTGGCCCCCCTTCGGCGCTCTCGGAGTCGTCTAGGGGAAAGTGGGCCGGCTTGAGGCTCTCTTCGGCAATGTGTTTGCCAGGTTGAGGCCTCAAATGCCAATTGGAAGCGAAAAGGTCAGAAGGCAAAATGTGTTCCCACATTTGGCCACATCCTTGATTTGAGATGGTGCTGTCGCTCAAGCGCCGGCCACATCCTTGATTGGGAACGGTGCTCCCGCTTGAGCGCTGACCACAATGTCATGCTGAGACGCTGACAGCCTCCATCTTGGAGGGGTCGTTCGGGAGGCTGTTTAGTTTTTTCGAGTGACAATCTCTCATATGCCGGAAACTAGGCCATGGGGGGTTCCAGACCGCAGCACACCATGGGGCACCAAAAATAGACATTTAACTGCGCCCTCCCCACCCCCCCCGAGGCCTCCCCGGGGCATCCCCGGAGCGTTACCGAAGCTTCCCTGGCCCCCCCAGAGCTTCCGGATATGTGCCTCGGGCGGGCCAACGTGGCGTTTGGACGGCCCAGGAGGCCTCCAAGACGCCCCGAGACGGCTCCAAGAGGACCCCCAAGAGAGCCCGAAGAGGCAAACATCGCCCCATTCCTTCAAGAAGCCGCACACTTCTAATTAGCACATTCGCTCCTTTCATGTGCGCAGCGTCCAACGCGGCTCCAGAGGGCCCCCAGGAGAGCCCCAAGAGGGCCCCAAGAGGGCCCCAAGACGGCCCAAGAGGCACATAGGACCGCCCAAGACGACCCCAAGAGAGCCCCAACAGGGGCCTGGTGGGGGAATGCGAACCCACATCTCGAGGTCTCCGCCCGCAAGATGACCCCGAAGGCAGCTGCTTTCTTGTGCACAGCGTCCAAGACGGCCTCAGACCGCAACACGGCCCAAGGGAGCCCCAAAACGGCCCAAGAGGCTCGTAGGACTGGCCGCAACGGCCCCAAGAGAGGCCCAACAGAGGCCCTGGGGGGGAATCCGAACCCACATTCCGAGGCATCTGCCCCAAGAGGATCGCGAGGATCGCCAGCAGGTCCCCCAGGTCTTGGAGGCCTCTTGGGCCGTCCGTGGGCCATCTTGGGCGTCTTGAAGCGCTTTTGGGCCGTCTTCGAGGCCTCTTGCGCCCTTTTTGGCGATTCTTGGGGCCCTTTTGGCCCATCTTGGGGCCCTCTAGCCTCTGCGAAAGTCATGCGGGGAAGCCCGAGAGAGCGCGGCAACGCTGGGAAGAGTTTAGATTTTGGGCACCCTGCTCCGAATGATAATTGTGAAGGCCTAGCGGCCGGTGCCGCCGACCTGAAGGGGGACGGCGACGACGACGGCGGCGTCGGCGTCGGCAGCGGCGACGACGACGACGCTGACGCTCTGGAGTCTCTCTTGGGGCTCTCTTGGGAGCCTCTTTGGCTCTGTTGGGGCTTGGGCTGGGGCCGCGGCGGGGGCCAGGGCCAGGACTGGGGCCGGGGCCGAGGCCGAGGCTGGGGCCACGGCCGGGGCTCGGGCCGGGGCTCGGGCCGGGGCCAGGGGCCAGGGCCAGGGCCAGGGTGGGGACCCTGGCTTAGGCCCCTTGAGTTGGGGCGTGTCTGGGTTAGGGGCCGGGGCTGGAGGGGGGGCCGGGGTCCGAGCGGGGGCCAGGGCTCGGGTCTGGGTGGCGACCCCCCCTGGGACCCTCCCAGGATCCCTCCCCCCTGGCGCGGGGAAGGGATCAAAGGGCCGGGGCTTTCCTTCGATTCCACTCCGATGTTGTTCAATTTTGCTTTGGACGGCGCGTGTGAAGAAGAGTGCCACATGTAACAGAGGAGGACGGAGACGACGATTCCAACGGAAAAGCCCGACTCTGGGCACCCTGCTCCTGATGATGATACGTCAACATTGACAACTGAGCGTTCCGTAGCCATTTTGGCTCAAGTCTCACTTGGCCCTCGTTCAGGGGCCAAAGGGGGCCTGAGCGCCGTCGCCTGTCTGGCTCAGCGGCGCCGTGGACAGCCACCTGCAGCCCACACCGAGGCAGAGGCTGCTCCGCTTTTGATTTTGTGCAACTTGCAGCTCGCACGCTAGTTCTGTTGCCGCGATGGGGAAGTCGCGCACTGCAGAACGACATTCCCGCCGAGGTGCTCGACGATCGGATGCTCGCTCACCCTCTCCCTCGTCTGCTTCCGCCTCTCGCACTCGCCGCTCCGCCAGCCGCAGTCCTGGCCGTGCTGAGGACCGCGACGAGATCTCGCTAGCCCGCCAGCTTCGAGAAGTGACAGGACAACTCTCATCGATGCACCAGATGATGATGCAAAGCTCGCAGGACATGAACGAGTTACGGACCAATGTCCAGAACAGCTTCACCAGATGCTCGCAGTTATCGGATCAAGTTGTGTTGTTGGGCCAGGATGTCAAGAGGAGGCATGAGGATCTGCAGAATCACGTACCATGTGCACTCAAGGAGATGGACTTGAAGGTCGCCCAGCTCCAGACGGAAGTGGCATCGAATTCGCAATCGCCCTCGTCAGACATCCCCATGGACACGGACTCTGTCTCCGCAGCAATGCAGTCTAAGTTCGACAAGATTGAGGCCTCCCTCGGTGATCTTCTCTCCCGCCAGACGTGTACAGAACGGCAGTGTGCCGAACTCCAGTCTACCCCGGCGCCAGGCTCGACTTCGCCAAGGACTACCAGAGCCTCTCCTACACAAGACAGAGGGCAGTTGCAGGATCAGACGTGCAACTTAGTGCTTTTGGGATTCCCGAGGAAGATGTTAGTCAAAGATTTGCGTATGATTGGATATCAATGCCGTACTACCTTCGCACCCTCGACCACGGCAGACCGCGCGATCGTGCGAGCCTTCGACATGAGCAAAATGGTCACGCTCCATTTCGAGACCCCATTGGCAGCAGGCTCATTCATGGACAATTTTCTGGCTCGGAACAAAATTTGAGAGTTCCCTGATCCACTGAACCCGCCCATTTCTTTGTCGCTCAGGCTGCGGCGTGACGTGAATTTGAATAGCCGGCAGCTCTGTTTATCCCTTGGCAAGGTCCGCGATCGCGTCGCGGAGCTTGGCCGCGACGAGAGGCTCGAAGTTGGCTCGTCTGGTTTAGGAGGCAGTGTCTGCATTCTTCGCGGCCCGCAGGGCCCTGTGCAGGCAGCAGCAGTTACGGTCGACAGCCAAGGGGCCATCGACTGTTGCCTCGACCGTGATGCCCTACTTGAGTTTAGCCTCTCTCAACACGCAGCGCCAATTGAAGCAGCAGCGCAGGTGCAGCTCCAGCGGCCCTTTCGCCGCTGAAGAGGACTGCGTGTACAGAGCGTCGGTTCCACCTCCTCTCCCGCCCGCTTGCCCTCATTCATCCATTGGTTGCTTTATTCCGAGTTCTCTTCTTACAATCCGCGCGTGGAACTGCCGGGCGCTGATGACTTCAGTTCGTACTTCGAATAAGACGGCTTCTACGCGGTATCACACGTGCATCAACCTTCTCAAGAAACGCGACATTGCATGCACACAAGAGACACACGGCCATATCGGCGACCTCAACGAGTTGGAGCGCGAGCTCCGATGGGCACCAGTTCGGCGCCTCCTTTCTCGAGAGTTGCAGGGGGGGCGGCGTCATCACTTCTATCTCTTCTAGGCTGGCCTCTCAGTTTACTGAAATGCGGCATGAGTAGATTATCCAGGGGCGCGCCCTGAACACGTTCCTTCAGGCCCCCCCCCCCAGGGGAAGTTGGTTATCTACAGCGTTCACCCCCCGAACACATGCGACCCCATGCCGCTTTTCAAGGGAGTCCTGGCAGCACTTAGGAATGACATGCGACTTCGCCTTCCTGGTGGAGATGGGCAGTATGCGCATTGTCTGGTGCTTGGCGATTTCAACTTTGCTCTCGAAGACGAAGGGCGTCTTTGCGGCGCGTCTGGGGCTTTTCGCCCTGGGGGCCCTGCTCGCTCGAAGCTTTTCGACGCATTCTTCCCTTTGCTGGCGGCCTTCTATCAGGATCAGGACATTCGCCGCGGGACTCGGGGTGACGCTGTTTCGTCCACCTCGCGAATCGATCGGATATGCACCTCTCTTCCGAGACCTCAGAGACGGGCTTGCAGTGATCATATCCCTGTGGTTTACCACTCTATCGCCATTCCGCCCCTCCTCTGACAATGAGCCACTCCCCGCTTGTATTACCCGGGCTTCAGAATTTCAAGAAGCATTGGGGCCCGCGGCATGGGACCCGCGGCACGAACTTGAGCATGTCAAAGACTGCTTCTACGAGGCGCCCATCGCCGCTCGCCTTGCCACTCGCTCTCGCAAGGC